CTTTAGGTAGCGGGTAAATAGCTTAGTTAAGACTACCTATAAGGATATAAAGTCGTATTTAATTATAAGCACCTCTAAGCTCTTATATCTTTACGATACCCTTATATAGATAATTAAGAATAAAGAAATAATATATATATATAAGGCTGCTTAGTAAGAGATATAATAAAGGGGTTATTTTCTTAAGTAGACTTAGCTTAAGGATCTTAGCGTTAAAATTACCTATAAAGTAGTTAACCTACTTACTATATAATATAGGCTTGCCCTCGCCGCGATACCCTTATTAATACGAGAGCTATAGCCGTTATAGCCTTATAGCGGGCGATTTAAATACTAATTTAAGCTACTTTATATATATATAATCCTTTAACGCCTTAAAGCTAGGTTAACGCTTAAAAAGTATAATATTCTCTTACGCTAATAGCTTAAGAAGCTATTAGTAAAGACCCCCCCCCTTTTTAATAATTCCTTTATTAATTATTACTATTAAGACCTTAAGGAGCTATTATTATAAATCCGCGATCTTAACGTTATTATAGTTATACGCGGCCGCCCCCGTAATAATAAGCTATCTATACTAAGCTCCCTTATAGCGAAGGCATCGTAGCTAGCTAAGGTAGCTACGGCGGCAACGAGGTTATTATAGCTACCTAATTTAGGTTAGGCTAGCTCGAGGCAGCTTAACGCGAGCATTTTAAGGCACCGAGGGTAAGGCGAGATAGACGAACTTAGCTATAGCCCGCGTTCTCTCGTAGCGTTATAATAAGGATCGTTAGCCTAAGGAAATATAAAGGGAAGGGGATTAAGAGGAGGACGCGGTAAGAGGAGCGCGCCTTTAGCTTTATTAGGGCCGCCGGCTTCGTTAGGCGTTAGAGGGCTCGTTAAGTAGGAGGCTATTAAGTAGGGGCGACCGCCGCCGCCGCTACCTATATAGCTATAAGCGCTAGAGGGGCCGGATTAATTAACGGGCTAATTATTTTAACTTCGAGCTTAAGGCCTATAAATACGTTATTTAAGCGAATTAAGAGGTATACGTTATATAGCCTTTCTTGCCTTATATATAGTATATATATATAGGCGGGCTCGGGCGCGGGTATTTAGGCGGTACCGCTACCTACTATACGGGCGCGGTATAAATAGGCGGGGCGGGCTAGCGTTAGTACGTATCTTAAAAATAGGGCGTTTATACGAATAGAGATATATATATATATAAATAGTAATACTTATATAAAGAGGGCTAAAAAAGTATATTAGTTAAAAAATAAAGAAGAAAATTATAAAGGAGGATAAAAGAAGATACTATCTACTAGCTAAGGGGGAAAAGAGACCTTTTTTATATACCGAATTTTCCCTCCTTCTTCCCTAAATAAATAAGGGCTAAGGGATTATTTAATTAAAAACAGGGCTAGCTAAAGACTCTACTAAGAATCTTACTAAGGACCCTACTAAGGACCTTACTAAGGACTTTACTACGCGGGCTATATATTCCTTAGGGTATAAATACCCCTATTAAATTAACTTAGTTACTACTCTTTAATATATATTCTCTCTTAGTTACTATAATACTATTATACCTTACTTATTAAGAACTAGTCTTTTATAGAACTATAAGGTACCTAGCTACTTATAGCCTTAGTTAAAGGTAGATATAATAATAATAATAATAATCGCTAGTAAAAGTATTTATTATATATAAATACTAATATCTTTATAATAGCTATATATAATAGCTTTATTTATTAACTATAATTAGTTTATATCTATAGTTTATAGTAGCCTTTAATAATATTTTAAACCCGAGTAAGACTAAGTAGACACGCTATATAATTATATAACTATCCTAAGATATAGTAAACTAAGGGAAAATATAAAAAAAAGCTAGAGAAGATAAAAAGGAAATAAAAACATATAGCAGCCGGTGTTCGCTGGTCGTCACCGACCTAACTACTAATCTGCCCCTTACATGCTTATTTAACCGAGATCGGACGGGACTTCGTGTCTAGAAATAAGCTTGCCCCGCGCTTAGCCGGATTTGTGCCGCGGTTGCCCCGCCCGGCACCGCTAAGTCCGCCCGAGATTGCGCCGATGCTTACATCACCCGACCCCCCCTGCCCGGGCTATCCAGGGTCCCTGGCTCCGCGCCTACTGCAGCCCTCCGTTTTGACAACCGGCCGCGGCCAAGAAAACGGTGCTCGCACCCGATCCCACCGTTTGGCCCATCGCTCGCGACGCTACCGACATCGGCCTTCTAATTTAAACATATACTCTACATCACTAGACTCACTCCTTAAGCCTTAAGTATGGTTGGCCAACGAGATTGGCAGTCGTTAATATACAAGACTGTAAATTAAGATATAGCTTTATAATCTAAATTAACTGCCTGCCTATAGGCGGTGCGGGTATTCATAAGTAATTAAGCGGGCAGGTGTTAGATCTAGCAAGCAGGTGTTAGATCCAGCAAGCAGTAGACAACTCGTGGCTTGCTATAAAGTCAGCTGACTATACGGAGTAGTTTAACACGAGTTGCCCCTATTTTGCTAGTAGCTAAGTGGTATTTGCTATGCTTGACAGAGACATATCTACGACGAAATACTTAATAATTGGGGCAGATATGTCCCTCCCTGTCTGTCTCGGAATTGTCGACCTGCTTTGGCCTCTATACTACAATGGCCGAGCTTCTGTGAGCTTGCGTCTTAGCTACGCTGGATGTTCTCCTACTCATTGCACTGATCAAGCTATGGCTAGTCTCGTTGATACAGTTGCCAAGGCCTTCGCAAAGCTCCATCATGCCCGTGTCTTGCACCACGATGCAGAAGTGTGTGTTATTGTCACGGGCTGTGCCCGGCTGGTGGACCCGGTTGTACCGGGTCCGGTGGGTCGTGCTCCGGTGGCAACACCGGCCCCGCTCCGCGGACCCAGAAGCTGCGAGAACATTCCGAGAAGGGCAATATAGCTGCACTCGAGGCTACGCCTCGAGTTCAGCTTCTTCCTCCTTAGCTCTAGATAGACAACACCTAGGCACCTGCTTGTTGAATAAACTCCGGGCCAGCCTTTCACATATCTAGAGCTCCTTCTAAATACCGCAAGCTGCAGACTGCTCGTCAGGATGGACCAGCAGAGTGAGAGCCCAAGTCTCCAGCAGCAATGGATTGACCAACGCATTCAAGAAGCGGTCAATGCGACTCTCAGCCCTCTACAGGACCAACTTTCCTTGCTGATGGAGCAACTCGGGCGAGCGCAGCCGCAGAGCGCCGACTTGCAATCGCCGCCAGTGGCACGAGGATTGGGCGAGAGCACGCCTGGCTTGGGCACGCCCTCCCAAAACCTGCGGTACTGGAATGCGGAAACCGTTGCCCAACCCACCCAAGTATGACGGCTCACGGAAGAGCTACTCCGCCTGGGCCAGGCAGATGCGAGACAAGCTGGACCTTGATGCACACTACTACAGTGGAAATCGCGAACTTTGGTACCTCATCAACTCATGTTTGGACGAGCGACCACAGCAAGTGGTCGCTACCTTTACGCCGCGGAGGCCCTGGGGTAGCTACGACCCCAAGAGTTCATGCGATACCTCGACCGAACCTACCAGGACAGCAACATCCAATCCCGCGCTGCTGCCACGCTGAGAACTATGCGGCAGCGCGAAGACCAACCTCTCGCGTCCTTCCTTCCCGATTCGAACAGGCATTAGCTGAAGCCGGGGGAGCAGACTGGCCGGACAGTGCAAAGATCGTATTTCTAGAGAACGCAATAAATGCACGCCTCCAAGAGAGTTTGGTCACAGCCGTCCTACCCGACGACTACCAGGGATGGCTTGCGAGAGTTCAGGAAATTGCGGGCAGATTGGAGAGACTGAAACCCGGTAGGCAGCCGACGTCGACTGAGCGGACGCCTCAACAGCTACCAAGGCAACGACCCAAGGAGGAACCGGAGGACCCTGACGGAGATGTTAAGATGACGGACATCAACCGTATTGGCCACGAGTCGAAGGGTCGTCGACATGTCGATAAGAAGCCGAAGGATGAGCGCCGCTGCTATCGCTGTGGTCGGACGGATCATCTTATCGTGGACTGCCCAGCCCAGGTGGTCTTTCCTGGCGAAGGGAAGCAACAGCGACCTAAAGCTGCGCGCATGAAGAGCCCGATGCCGCAGATGATTCGGAATCAACCGCAGCATCCAGTGAGGACGAGTCGGCGGGAAAAGACTAGCCCCGGGCGAAAGCGGGCGCCGGGGCCTGCAAAGGCAGACATCCGGGACTGGGAAGCGTTCAAGCCACGAATGAATAGTCGGACTGTATTAGTCAACGCGCGGGTAAACCGAGGCTATCGAATACGCGCCCTTGTCGACTGTGGATGTGACTGCTATGCCGTGATCGACGAAGCCCTTGTTCGAAGCTGCGGATACCCTTCGTCGACTCGAAACCACGAGAAATTGGGGGATTCTCAGAGTCAGCGAAGAGTGTCATATCCCCAGGGGTCGTGGCTGTTGTGGTCGAGACAGCTGGATTTGACGAACGTGTCTTTGCATACGTGATCCCAAGCCTGGGCCAGGACATGTTCCTCGGCCGGCCTTGGATGGAGAGAAATCACGTCGTGTACGATGCTGCCAAGCAGCGAATGTACCATGGGAGGGCAGGTGTGACGATACGCCTCATTGGGCAGGAAGAGCCCGCCAAGATACGCGCGATTCGAAGCGCAAGACTCGTGTCGGCAGCCGTATTCACGGCGGAGTGTCGACGCGCAAAGAGACGCAAGAAGTGCAACGCGATCTCGATTCATGCAATCAGTTTGTCGGATATAGAGAGGGCGCTTCAGCCGAAGCCGCCAGTCGATCCGAGCGAGAAGGTCCCGGCAGAAGTGCTGAAAGAATTCCGCGACCTATTCTCACCAGGAGAGGCAATGAAGCTGCCGCCACATCGACCGGGTGTGGATCATGAAGTCAACCTGCAGCCTGACAAGAACGGCAACGAGCCACCCCTTCCGTGGGGCCCACTCTACAACATGTCACGAGAAGAGCTGTTGGTCTTGCGAAAGACCCTGAAAGACCTGCTGGACAGAGGATTCATCCGAGCGAGTAGCTCAGCGGCTGCCGCGCCGGTGCTGTTCGTGCGGAAGCCGAATGGAGGGCTGCGATTTTGTTGCGACTACCGAGCGCTGAATGCAATCACCAAGCGCGACCGATACCCACTGCCCTCATCGCGGAGACCCTGCAGAATCTGGCCAAGGCTAAGTGGTTCACCAAGTTGGACGTGGTGGCCGCTTTCCATAAGATCCGCATGGCTCCGGGACATGAGGGAAAGACTGCATTTCGCACGAGGTTTGGGCTCTACGAGTGGCTCGTGTGCCCTTTCGGCCTGAGCGGCGCCCCGGCATCATTCCAACGATACATGAACAGTGTATTGCGCGAATGGCTGGACGACTTTGTCACAGCGTACCTGGATGATGTACTGATCTACTCGAGCGGTTCGAAGGCGGATCATGAGGCTAAGGTGCGACGAGTTCTCCAAGCACTCGCCGACGCTGGGCTGCACCTAGACCCAGCGAAGTGCGAGTTTTCGGTACAAGAGGTCAAATACCTTGGGTTCATCGTCAACGCAGGGAAAGGAATCGCCTGCGACCCCGAAAGCAGCGCGCCATCCGCGAATGGGAGGCCCGACCACGGTGAAGGGTGTCAGAAGCTTTCTGGGCTTCGCCAACTATTACCGGATCTTCATCCCCGACTATGCCAAGATCACGCAGTCTCTGGATGCCCTGCTTAAGAAAGGAACTGCCTTTCATTGGGGACGAGCGGAGAACGAGGCGTTTCAGGAGCTGAAGCGACGATTTTGCGAGTCACCGGTGCTCAAGCAGTGGGACCCGAGCCTCCCGACCTTTTTGGAGACGGATTGCTCAGGCTACGCATTGGGAGGCGTCCTGTCGCAGGAAGGCCCAGATGGACGTCGACACGCATGCGCCTTCTTCTCGAAGCGACTTTCGCCAGCGGAGTACAACTATCCCATTCACGACAAGGAGATGCTTGCCATCATGAGATGTCTCGACAACTGGAACGCCGAACTTAGGAGCTGCGGCCCATTTACAATCCTTACCGATCACCGCAACCTGGAGTATTTCATGACACGCCAGAAGCTCACGGAACGGCAGAGCCGTTGGGCAGCCGAATTGTCCCAGTTCGACTTCAAGCTCGAGTATCGACCGGGAAGCGAGGCTGTCGTGCCTGATGCGTTGTCCCGCCGTGAACAAGACAAGCCACAGGGCATTGACGACGAGCGGGAACAAGGAAGAATGATACAGTTGATACCGGATAGTGCCATTCCATCATCGACAAGAGCATGTATCAACGCGATGAGTTCTGACTGTTCAGAGGCATCCACCCTGCCGAAGATGAAGGTCTTCGAGGTAGCGGACCTGCAGCAACTCTGGGACGAAACGGTGGCGAAGGACTCGATATTCCGGGCAGCCTATAAGGCAGTCCGCGATCGCGAGCGTGCCTTCCCGCCCTCGCTGGGCCTGAAGATCCAGATTTCAGAATGTGCGATCGACGCAGGCAAAGGCTGACATTCAGAGACCGTATTTGGGTGCCGGGTGGATCCGGAGAGGAGGGTAACCAGGAGGAAGCTGAGAAAGACCAGTTGAGAACCCGCATTGTGCAGCAGTCGCATGACTCTGTTGCGACCGGTCATCCCGGCAGGGAAGGTACGCTGGCTATTGTGGCTCGGCGATTCTACTGGCCTGGGCAGTCCCAGCTGGTTCGCCGGTACGTAGCCAATTGCGACACCTGCGGCAGAGCACACATCTGGCGCCAGTCGAAAAGGGGATTTCTCAAGCCTCTGCCGATTCCAGATCGACCCCGAAGCCATTTGTCCATGGACTTCATCACAGATCTGCCGCCTACTGGACCGAGCAAGGCAAGGTACCTGTGGTGATTGTGGACAGACTGACAAAGGCTGTGACCCTCGAGGTGATGGACAACATGGAAGCTGAGCAGTGTGCAAACCGTTTTCCAGTGTCATTACCGATTTCACGGAATGCCACGGTCCATCGTCAGCGACCGCGGAGCAACTGGCTAAGTAGGTTCTGGAAGAGGTTCTGCCGTCTTGCAGGTGTCACGCAGAAATTGAGCACGGCCTATCATCCTCAGACGGACGGAGGGCCAGAGAGAATGAACCAGGAGATCGAGGCCTACCTGAGAGCCTACGTGTCGTACGTGCAGGACGACTGGGGAGAACTGCCCTGCCGCGCAGCTGGCACTCAACAATCGTGAATCCGCAGCGACCAAGATCAGCCCTTTTTCGCTGAGCATGGTTACCACGTCGATCCCATCAGCGTCGAGGAATCGGAAGAGCCACCGAGGCATAGAGAGGAAAGCAGAGCTGATAGCCTACTCAGTCGCCTGCAGGAGGTCAATGAGTACATGCAAGCAGTGATGGCCTCCTCACAGCAACAACAAGAAGAGGCTGCCAACGCAAAGCGACAGCCTGCGGAGCGATTTGAAGTTGGTGACAAGGTGTGGCTCTCGATGGCAAACTACAGATCGCCACGACCGTGCAAGAAGCTCGACTGGCTGCATCACAAGTACACAGTCACGAAGGTAATTAGTTCGCACGTTGTTGAGCTCGATGTTCGTGGCTCAATTTACCCGCGATTTCATGTTGACCTTTGCGGCGGGCGCATCAAGATCCGGCTCCTGGCCAAAGGTAGATGACGCACAGCCACCACCGGTACAAGATGAGTCCGGCACGGATCTGTGGGATGTCGACGAGATCCTCTGCGCGAGATGGAAGAAGCGCGGACGAGGGGAATTCAGGCAAGCACTAGTGCGATGGACGGGCTACGCAGAGCCGACTTGGGAGCCAGTTGAGTGGTTGCAAGGAACAATTGCGATGAAGGCATTCGAGGACAAGTACGGGCCAATCAAGACCAATGATGGCCCTAGGGAGAGGCGAGACGCTGGCAGGAACGCAAGAACCCCGCAGACGCCGACCTGGTCGGAGGGGACAAGGGGTAATGTCACGGGCTGTGCCCGGCTGGTGGACCCGGTTGTACCGGGTCCGGTGGGTCGTGCCCGGTGGCAACACCGGCCGGCCCGCGGACCCAGAAGCTGCGAGAACATTCCGAGAAGGGTAATATAAGCTCGCACTCGAGGCTACGCCTCGAGTTCAGCTTCTTTTCCTCCTTAGCTCTAGATAGACAACACCTAGGCACCTGCTTGTTGAATAAACTCCAGGCCAGCCTTTCACAGTTAGCTACTAAATCGGTCCTCTTCGTGGCTCTGCGGGGCGATGGCCTCGAGGCGATATTCCGCATGGTGGCAAGGACGGCTCGGGATTCGATTACCCGCCCCTTTCGGCGTGCCCTACAGCGGGCACACTCTCTTACATGTACGGCAGTTGCGGACTGCCTAGGGTGTATCGTTCTCTATCTGACCGTATATATATTCACCTCTTATCCACCTAGACCGCTAGTATTAAGGAGAGTGGGCATAAGAGGCTATAGTTATGCCTAATAGACCTAATTGTTATGCATAAGGAAGCCTGCCTGACCAATATAACTCCCCTAGCCTAAGGACATTATATAGGCCTAACTTAGGTATAGGAATATCTTAATGCCCTCTTTTAGCTAGCTATATATAGTTACTATACCTATATAAGCCCCTCTCTTATCCTAATAGATAGACTAAGATATATATTACTAAATTTACCTTTCTATGCCCCTATTTCTTCTACTATTCTCTTAAGCCCTTGCTTGAGAGCTAGGTATAGCTCGGGCAGGGGGGCTTTACGAGGGCTTAGTAGTGCAAGCAGCGCTGTCTAACAGCTGCGAGGTCTAAGACCGTGATAGACCTTAATAGGGAAGCTGACTTTAAGGTAGTTAGCTTAGGTCTAAATGATTTAGGAGGAAACTGCACTGCTTGCCTAGAGGTAGGGTAACCGGGAAATGTTAAAAGTTAGGTCGGCTGCGGAGGTAATATGCGAACTGTTAGAAGAGACTCGTAGTCTCTAGAAGGTTCTATTATCATGTCGACATTTCTTAGCTATGTCTATATAAGACCTACCCTTCCACACCTTCTATAGCTAGAGATATCATAATTAAGAGATCATTCATTTTCGTCTTTCCTAGCCCACGTGTATAGACGACACGAACTGTCAGAGGGAGCAGACTAACGGTCAAATTCACGCACGTGTAAACCCTAGTAAAAGAGGCAGGTCACACACAGGGACTTGAGTCGGGTATCGACATAGTAGAGGAACATTGCCCGAATCGGCATACGCGGAATTGGCCCTGATTTAGGGCCACCGCGGGTCCAAGAGAGGTATCTCTCCGTATAAATACCCCCTCAATGTCGCACAGACAGATAGAAAACATGCATCATCGTTTGGACTTAATTGTGCCTGCCCTTATCCTTCCGCCCGCGCTCTCAGCTTGCTGAGAGTCTCCGTTCACTTCGTCCCCGAGTGAACATCCCTAGTCGGCGGCGGCCCGACACTAATCCGTGCCGTGTCACGTGCAGTGTGTCCTGGTTCCCGTGGCCCACTGGCCATGGTTGTAACAAGGATGCCGCACTCGTCTTCGTTCTAGGAGTAGCGTAACACGCACGGCGACTTAAACCCTATTAAGAAAGGGGACCCGCTACTATAATTTAGCGCGCGCATTTCTTTTATATTATTACTCGTATATAGCCTCTAGGGCTATAGCGAGGCTAGTAAGAGCCTAGGCTATTATTAGTAGTCCTAGCTAGCTATAGAGCCCGGAGGCTTATAACTAATTAGGGAAAGGGGAGCTATAAAAGTAAAGATAAGGAAAGGTTAATTTAGCTTTTCTTATATAGTATTCTTCCCCCTTAAGGGCCCTAGGGCCCTTAGGTTACTTTTTTTAAGCTACTTAGCTATTCCTATCTTTATTTATCTAAGAAGGTTAAAAGGGCTTCCCTTCCTTCCTTAAAGCTATAAAGAAGAGGAAAGTTAAGGGCCTCCTTCTATCTCTTAAAGGCTTAGTAAAGGACCTCTCTTTCCTTCCTATAGTTTAAGCACCGTAAGATAAGGTGCCTAGCTATATACCTTCCTTAGCTCTTAAGGTATATAAGTAATAGCGGAATTTTAGGAAGTTAAGGAATTATATAATACTATATAATAAAGGGGAAGAAGGAGTATAAGGTAGGGTTCTTACCGGAATTTATTAGTAGTATATTAATATATAAAGAGGTGTTAAAGTTAACTATTTTTTATATATTTACTAGTAGATATACTGCCTTATATAAATAGTTATAGTAAAATAAAAGAACCTTTTAAGACTAGAATTAAGCTGCTATATAGCTTAGAAACTAAGAAATTTAGTAGTACTTAGATTATAGCTAGATATATCTTAGTTCTACTAATATTTATATTTAAAGGAGGTTAGTTATACTAGTATTCTTAAGAGGTCCTAGCTAGTATATTAAGCTAGCTCTATTCTTTCGATTACTAATTAAATAGTAACTAATAGCTAATTTAATATATAATAATATAGAAAATAATAAGCGATTCTTACTTTATAAGATAGGATTTCTTTTTATAATTAATATCTTACTTATTAGTTTATATAACCGGGAGAGTATATTATAGCTACTTTATTTATAGTAGGAAAATACCTTTCCTTATACCCTCCCTTAAAGAGTAGACTTATATACTCTTTACTAATTTATTTATAGTAGTATATATATATAAAAAGGTATAAGCAATAAGCGTAGGATCGGGAAGTTAATAACGTAAGCGGAGAGATCGGTCGAAGGAGTATAGGGTAGGATCTCGTCCGGAATTTATAACGAGTATATAAGGGGCTAAATAATATATTAAAAGAATAGCGTTGTAAAAGATACTTATAAACTTACTTCTTCTATCTACTACTCCTAGGGAAATCCTTTATCTTTTATAGACTATTGCTCGCCTACTAGTAAACTATTTAGTTAGCTTTTTAGTATATTTTATAGTGCTTAAAAAGCTTTAGCTATAGTATGTCTTCTTAACTTAGTAGGTGGTCTAATTATAACGTGATAGTTAATATAAAGCTATAGGTTCTAGTATAAGTAGTAGATTTAACTAGAATGTTCTATGCCCTACTTATTCTCGTATCACGGATATCTTAGGAGCCGCTAAGCTAAAATAGGCATTAGAGTATCCGTTCTACTTATAATTAACTTATGTATTTTATATTTTTATTTATTTATTAGGATAGGCTTATCTTAACCCGTTTTTCCTAAAGGAAGGTATAGATATCTAGTAGAGGTCTTTTATCTTTTAGGGGTTATTCTATTAGACTATATTATAGAGCCTCCCTATACCCGCTATTTCTTTATAATAGTAAAATAGGAATATAAGGGTATATTCTTATAATATATAAGGTAAACCTTATTTTTAGAAAACTACTTTTATACTTAAATAAGATATATAAAAACCATATTCTTTCTTAGGAAATAATCCTTAGGTATATACTTAGAGAAAAATCTATAGTAGAAAAATTCTAAAGTTATATATAAATTCTTTATAGAATAGCCCTATATAAAGTAAGACCTATTATATTTA